GCACTACTTTGTGGCATGCAGTATCACACTACTTTATGACAAATAAACTTAGTTCTCCATTTGACTGGCGCGTTCCAGCAAGAAGAGGTTGCGAAATCAGGTATCGGCGCCCCACGCTAACTTTGTTTCAAAGCAACATAACATCGACTTGGTTTGGTGACGTCACATGTTTCTATCTTTGCTGCGCCCGTACCGCTGTACCGCGCCACCGCTGCACGGTTGCTTGGAGATTGGGGAAACTGTCAACAACATCGGAGAATTTCAACAACATTGGAGGTATTTTCAAAATACCTTTTATAAGACAATGCGCAGTGAAATTGGAGGAGCTAGAGTTTATTTTGTCATAAGGTAGTGTGATTATTCATGCCACGAAGTATTTGCTAGTCTAGTACTGTAGAAATTAGCGTTTGGATGCACATTGTGAGCCTTTAAGTATATATTGTCAATGCTAGGTCTAGCGGAAGGACCGTACCATTGTTAACACGAAGCGGGGTTCCAGGCGGTATATCCAGAGTGTTGTGTGTCGCAGAGTATGTTGACAGTACAATAAGCCAGTTCGTAGTTACGCATTGCAGTAGTTATTGCATTTAATGCAGATAGTAGATCGTATTCAAATCGCTTACAATACAAATGCGCGTGCTGTGCTTTTAGAATTGGTCACAGTTTACTGCTTAACATGTCAGGTGACATGTTTTCTGGGCATTGATTGGTTTGCTGACATGCGGCTTTGGGTTTAAATTCAGGTTATTTGAGATAAGTTTAGTACATTGCTGTAACAGAGTCATACGTACTATCACAGCTAACAGCCGATATATCCGACCATGGCCGATGTCCTGATTTTGACCGACAGTTTGGGTAGACATTTGCACGGCTACCTAAACAGGAGATGTAGAATTCGTACTATTGTCGATTTCCATCCAGGAGCGAGGTCAACAACAATTCTGCAAAGGACAAGCCAGGACGTCACCTGTTTTATGCATGTTATCCTGCTCGTCGGGACAAATGAGGTGGAGAGACACACACCCGAGCAGATCGTCCACGACATACATCGCACTCTCGAAGATATAGCGATGCAACGTCCACGGACGCTTGCGTTCGTAGCTGTATTACCAAGACCGAGGGATGATAAAAAAAACCGCATCCACTGTCATCCAAGTCAACAAGCAGATGAAGAAACTCACGAAAGAATTGGGAATGGGCTATATTGGCGCCAATAGACCATTTTTAGAAGGAGGCAGAGTTCGTTCGGCAAACAACAACGGAGAACCTTTCTTCCGCGACGGGCTACATTTAGCTAAAGCGGGATATGAAACTTTATCCCGATGCATCGAGAATTATCTGCGTACCGTCGAATGAAGATCTCCTCTTACAAAAACCAGCCCTTTTCAGGGCTACATTTCTTTCAAGAAATGATTTCTACATTTGCAATACATCCCAGGCTTCTCCCTACGTTGCGCAAAGTGGGCGCGCCCGCCCCGTTTGGGAAAACTCCCCCCCCACCCCCCGTTTCAATCGTTGTGCCACGTTTAAATTATTTCCGCCCCTAATTAAAAAAAAAAGGAATGGCTACATGAGGAACAGGCTGAGTGAGTCAGCTTTGGAGGCGCTGCTGCTACTGGCAATTGAGGGGCCACCACCCATTGACCTTTGACCTGTGACCTCCAATTTCGGCACAGTGATGGCTTTTCCTACCATGATGCGATACACCGACTATCACGAGCCTAGGTCGAGCCGGTAGAGGCGCTTGCTTTTCCGGACTTACCGCAGATTTGGCATCACTTCTTTACAATTACAAGACACTCTACGGCTAATATGTCGGACCTTATGCCTCGCATGCGTGCTATTGTTCCGGATGCCTTGTATAGTCATAATGACTTAGATATTGCGTTTGCTAAATTAGCAGATGCAGTTAAAAATAACCAGCCGTTTCCCATGGCTTCAGGTGATGACAAATTCCATTATGGGAATATTCAAGCACGAATACATCATACTACTACGTATGCGATACTGAGATATTGCTTGTTGGCAATATTAATATTGATTTTCATCATTCGTCGATTTGGTTGTAAGGGATGTACGCCTCATCGCTAGGAGGTCTCCTTCCCAGTTACGCCTCTGCATTTGCAGCCGTTCACTGTAGAGTCACCACCAACACCACCACTGCTGCCCCCTATGTTACATGTCATGCAGACTTCACCACTCACAATTCAAGCTGAACCTCATTACGCTATCCTTTCGTCAAGCCCTGTGTTGGAACCGCATACGCCCATCACCATACGCATGTAACGAGTTTCGAGGCCGATTTGCGTTCAGTTGCTGAAGTATGCTCGCGTTTTTTTCTATTTATTCATCGCTGGTCACGCTTGGTAGCTTGCTTTTGGAGAATGTCTGTTGTTCTGATTGTCGTCTGCGTAATTCTTTCCTTACTTGCGTGTCACGATATGCACATGTGTTGTCACCGGAATGAGATATGGTTTGATTTAGAGTACATTTGCAAGCTTACACGCTGAATCTTTATCGTAACATATTAAAAGCTTGTGAGATTTTTCTGTTCGATTAATTGCTTTCGTTTTACATAGCATGCTGGGTGCTCTTGCTAAAGTAATCGAGTTTTGTTGATGGTTTGTCAACACCATTAAATAATTATAACTTGAATGATTTTACTCGTTGCGAATTTGAATCGAATGATTTTTAACATTAACATTGCTAATTCAACATCAGAAACTACTGATCTGACAAAATGGCCGATGGAGAGGACCACAAGAGCTACCCGCTCCACGTCACCCTCGTTCAGAAGAGCTGCGAGAGGGACCTGCTCATAGAGATGGGAGGCAAGCCGACGCCACCCGTGTGGACTCGGCTTCGTGGTGGGGGCGCAGGACTGTCGGCCCGTCGCCTCGTTGATCGTCTGAGAGAAACAGATCCAGACAGGTACTACGCAAAGTACCGCAACCTGGAGTATTGGATCGAGCACAACCCGGCACCATCTACGGAACCCCCACACTGACCGCAGCAACCAACGACAGTGACGACTGTCACAACTTTGACTTGCCGGTGCGGAAGCCTACCCAACCTAGGTTTCCGCCACCGTCAAGACCAGGCAGCAGGAGAGGCTGCCTCCGCTTCGCGCCGACCACCATCACATCCTACTTCGAACACTATGATTTGTGAACCTATATGATTTGTGAACCTATAATGTAGATAACACTAATGCTTGTGTTAAATAAAAATAATTTTTTGTAAAATATTATTATTATGTTTGCTTATTTGACACGTGCCACAGTACTATTGTTCTCATGGAGTATTACTCATTTCTCTTTTCTGTACCTTCTTTTCTTCTTAACTTATCAATGACAGTATTCATACTGAATGTTTTTTTGCTGTTAACGGTTCTTGACGTTACACGATAAACTTCTTCTTTCTTTCATCTTCAGTTTCGTTTTAGTCTGTACGAATCCACGCCCACTAAGGAAACGTCCTGTTCGAAATTTTAAGAAGAGCAGTCGGAGTCTGCTGTAACGATGGGTCATCGTCCGATTGTACGGGGGGGGGGTAATGTAGACACGAGGTTTGCATTAATTAAATAAGTTAATAATTTTATAACTCCGTTAAGATTATCGGCCAGCAGATTGATTCTTGTAATAACTAACTAGGCACGAGCGATGAGGTTGAGGGAATGTGTGAAACACATTCTGCACAGTCTGCGAGGTCAGGCGGGAGTGTTTATGCACGGGTAGCAAGATTGTTTGTACACGCATTTGGCACGCGAACGAGCAGCAGCTCGGCTCTCCCCGGAGGAGACTCGGCACAATAGAGGTACACTCCTGTCTCGTGAAATGGAGAGCGATCGTGGGTGTGCGCTCGACACGCCATCCTTGTAAGGATGGGGCGATTAATTACCCACATAACCGGCGGTGTAAATGGGGATTTATTCTAAATTGGGAGCATCTGCTGTTCAGCTTCGGACGTGCACTAGGGTTGCAGGGATGGTTCCTTGTTTGGACAGGGGTTTGTGGATGCTAAATTTAAGCGTATATATAAGACAGTTCGAAGCATGTGATAGTCAGTGTGTCTAACCTTGTCTGTGCCTGCGACGTGCATCGTTATTGAGACCGTGAGTATGTAAGTTCATTCTTTAACTGATGGCTTAGGGTTCTTGCCACTATAGATCTATATCTATCTTGATTCTTATTTGTTCTATCGTAGTGAGCTATCTTCTAGTATGTGCAATAACCTTTCTATATTTCTAAACGTAGTTTCTTATTGCTGTGTAAGTTGCACTCGCACTGTGTTAATTGTCAGCACCTCTTCGTGTACTATCGTACGTGTATTATTCTATTAACTACAAGAGCTTTCTTGAATAAATCTTATTCTTTGTGGCACCGTCTCACTCTCTTGTGCTTTGAATATTAATTGTTAACATTTCTACACACTTCTTGTAAGACGGAGAAACCCGCCTACATTTATTATTTATAGATGGGCTATTTGTAGAATTTTAGCAAATTTGATTTGAATTCTATGTACAACCTCCCGCCTAACACACACTGTTCTGACTTTATTTATTTTCACCCGTTACAGTACATGCTACACGTACATGTACATGTACATGTAACACGGCCAGCGTACAAAATCGCAGTGTGTGTCCAGCTGTACGCGCAACTCGTACGGCGTTCTAAAATCGTGAGCGAAAATATACGCTGCCGGGCAGCGTACAGAATCGCTAGTGTGTCCTAGGCTTACGGCGTTCTAAAATCGTGAGCGAAAATATACGCTGCCGGGCAGCGTACAGAATCGCTAGTGTGTCCTAGGCTTTAGAGGCTGATGATGATCTGCCATCCGGAAGTGGAAACAAGGCTACCTCTTGCACTGGAAAACGAGACAACAGGTTAACATTAAGCCGTCCATCCCAAAGGGCTAGGGCTGAGTTGGAAAGGAATATAGCTGCACGACCCGGAACCAGCGTCAAGAAGTCGGCAAGTCTGCATGCACCTCCAAAAAGAATGGTTTATGGTAACGTCAACAAGGCCGATCTTGTGCCTAACCTTTCTGCTGTAAAACCAAGCAAGAGTAAGAAATCTGCAACGAAGTCAAACCAGTCATCCCACCAATCAAGGGTGGAATTGCAGCAAAAGATGTTCGACCTCGAATTCCATGTAAGGGAATTGCAAATAAAATTAGAACAACTGAAGATCGATAAAGAGAAGAAAGTTCAAGTAATGATGGAAATAGAAGAGGAAGAAGACGATGACTTAGGCGCAGACAATTCAATGCTCAGCGAGATCCCCCAAGAAAACTCTGATGTTAATATGCAACGGTTTCTCAACTCCATGCCAGCCAGTGTCCCTCCAACATCTAAGGCATCTGCACTACATGACTTGGTGAACTCATTCAGGCTGCCACCGGTCCAGATTGATCGTTTCAATGGAGATCCCCTGAAATACCCAGTATGGATCACTACATTCGACAACATGGTAGCATCCAGAACAACCAGCTCCTCTGACAAACTCAATCTCCTAGGCCAATATCTCGAAGGCGAGCCCTTAGAAATGATCAGTGGCTACCTCCTACTGCAAGATCAGGAGGCTTATCAATGCACCAGGGAGAAGTTGGAATATTGGTATGGGGGAGACTCGGTTATCAGCCGAGCATTTCTCACTAAGCTCGAAAACTGGCCTAAGCATGATGGCAGGGACCCTATAAGTCTTAGGAGGTTTTCACATTACTTGGATGAGCATGGATTTGGATGGATTACCTGGGCATCCTAGACGATCCTCAAGAGAACTGCAAAATTGTCTGCAAACTACCAGTCTACATGGAAAGTAAGTGGCAGTCCGTGATTATACGTTCCAAGAATAGGGAAAACCGCTTCCTCTCCTTCGGAACTTTCACCGATTTCGTAGTAGGACGTGCAGAAGAGGCCAACATCCTAGCGTTCGACTGCCATGCTGCAAGTCTTCCCGCCCCATCGTATCTGAATTCATCTCCGCCAAGAGCAACCAAGAAGATCCTTGCCACCGTTGAACAGATAGATCCGTGCAAGTTATGCCAGCGTGATCATAGGTCGGTGGAATGTCCGAAGTTCATGGATGTCACAGTCGACCAGCGAGTGGGATTGATCAAGAAGCGGGGGCTTTGCTTTGGTTGCATGAAATTTGGCCACCGGTCCAATGCCTGCAGGCAGAGGCTCGCATGTTCCCGATGCCGCAAACGCCATCCTACCCTACTGCATCAAGACACCCCTCCAGTTAGATTAGCGGTGCCGGAACCGGCACCTCACCATGCCAGGGACATAGCCCAACCACCCCAAGCCCGGGAAGTTTCCTCAGCCTGTGGGGGATAGTGCCAGTGGTAGTAGTCTTTGAAGAATGGCAGAGCTCTTCAGACGTACCCCTTCCTCGACCCCGGTTCTAGCGTGTCTTTCTGTACAGATCAATTGAAGCAGCGCCTAGGCATTGGTGGTAGAAAGGCTAAAATTACCATCGAAACCATGTCCTCTGAATCATACACCCTCGACACAAACATCCTGAACAACCTTGCCATCCCCAGCTTAGATGGCGGTAGAGATATAAAGCTCCCTCATGTCTACACCAAGACCAACCTTCCAGTCACGTGGAAGGCCCACATTCCGTGACAAGAAGATGTGGATGCATGGCCCCACCTCAGGAGTAGGGTACATTTGAAGCACATTGAAGCAGACATTGGCCTGATGCTGGGAAATGCTGTGGACCATTTTGGCCTGGACCCCTTGGTGCATAGTTAGGCCCGGCGTTGCATCCACCAATGTTGCAAATCCGTCAAAGCTGTCGAATGCCACGAAGAGCTGCTGGAGATGATGCGCAAGAACTCTGCGATAGACTTTCCAGAGGGTCGCTCTACGGAAAAATTGGGCCTATCGACTGAAGATAAAAGGTTTAACCAAATAGTCAACAAAGCCATCGAGTCGAAGAACGCTCGGTACACCATACCGCTGCCCTGGAAGGACGCAAGCTTTGTCCTACCAGTGAATAAAGGTCAAGCCATCAGAAGATTCGAATTACTAAAAAGAAGATTCGAAAGGGACGAGACCTTGAAGCAGTATGTCGAGACGATGAAGAAAATGCGCGATCGGGGGGTATGTTGAACTGGCAGATGGACTTAAAACTGGTCCCAAAGTATGGCATATACCCCACCACCCAGTGTTTAGCGCCAAGAAGCCTGGTAAGCTAAGGGTCATCTTTGACTGTGGGGCAAAGCAAGCAAGGCGTCTCACTCAACGATGTCTTGTTACAGGGGCCGGACATCACTAACAGCTTACTCGGTGTCTTGCTTCGGTTTCGAAAGGAGGAAATCGCTGTTATGGCAGACATCGCCAGGATGTTCCTTCAAGTAATGGTACCTCCTGAAGATAGAGATGCCATGCGATTCTTCTGGCGTGACAACAAGGGCGATGAAATCCTTACTTACCAAAACACACGTCATCTCGTCGGTGCAGCATCCTCGTCTGGGTGTGCTAACAAGGCTCTGCAAAAGACAGGAAAAGATGATGGCCATTTGTATTCCCCAGAGACACGCAAGGCCATCAAGGACTCATTCTCTGTCGATGACCTCCTTTCAAATACCCCAAGTGTTGAGAAGGCGAAGTCCTTAATGGAAGAGCTTACTGAGCTATGCTCCAAAGAGAAGTTTCGACTCACAAAGTGGATGTCAAACAGCAAAGATGTATTGGTTTCCATCTCAGAAGATGAAAGAGCGCCCGAGTTAAAGTCCTTAGACCTGCACGATGGCAACATTCCAGCCAGCAGAGCACTTGGTGTTCAATGGTCCCCAGAGTTTGACACACTGAGTTTTGAGGCCAATGTCGTCGGGAAGAGTCGTACGAGAAGAGGGTTACTATCCACTATCAGCTCACTGTTCGATCCTCTTGGCCTGGTAGCCCCATTCGTACTGCCTGCCAAGGTGCTGTTACAAGATAGCTGCCGAAAAGGCCTTGGCTGGGACGAGGAAATTGAGCCTACTCAAAGAAAGTGGTCTTCTTGGCTGTCTGAATTGGAGAGATTGAAGGAATGGAGCATCCCAAGGTGTGTTAAAAATGGCCTGCTTACTAACGTTGTGAACATGCAGTTACATATTTTCGCTGATGCCAGTGAAAGGGGTTATGGAGTGTGTGCTTACCTGCGGTCAGAGGATGAACTGGGTGATGTGCAAGTCTGTCTAATGATTGCCAAGAGGTGAGTTGCTCCAGTGAAATACACCTCCATACCTCGCTTAGAGTTAACTGCTGCAATGATGGCAGCCCGAATAGGAGATGTCCTCCTGACCGAACTAGATGTCAATGAAGCATTCTATTGGACTGACGATCATTGGAAAACGAGACTGATGATCCAGAAGTAAAGCAGATTTGTAATGCTGTGGTACATGACAACCACGCTTGTCTCATTGATGAGTTAATGCCAAGATTCTCTAGCTTCACCAAACTCAAGAGAGTTGTAGCCTTAGTCCTCAAGTTCGTGGCCAAGTTGAAGAAAACCTACCAGCTTGATTCTGGCAACTTATCCGTAGAAGATTTGAAGCAAGCTGAGACCCTGATTCTTTCTCATGAACAGATGAGGTTTTTCCAGGTCGAACTGACTGCATTGACCGGAGGCATAGACAAAGATATCAACACAGTAATGAGACGAAATTCACTGAGAGCCATCAATCCCACTCTGCGGAAATGACTTATTACAGTTGGCGGATGCTTGAGGCGTGCAGATCTGCCTGAGTGTTATTTCCAAGAGCTCACCAATTGCCTGTATGATCGTCACGGAGACCCACCGATCATTAGGTCACATGGGGAAGTCTGCAGTCCTGACTACGCTGTGGAAAAGGTATTGGATCATCGGTGCCAGCGCAGTCATCCATAGCGTCATGGGAAGCTGCACTATATGCAGGAAATATTGCGCAAATGATGGCTGCTCTGCCCAAGGAGAGTGATGAGTGACCAACCGCCCTTCACCAACGCAGGACTGGATATGTTTGGCCCCATCGAGATAAGGAGAGGACGGAGCACGGTGAAATGATATGGCCTTATCTTCACCTGCCTTGCCACAAGAGCCATCCACCTTGAAATACTGCAATCGGCGGACACTGATAGCTGTCTACATGCGTTGCGCAGATTCATCTGTCGACGGGGATCAGTCGCCTCCATTCGAAGCGACAAGGGGTCTAACTTCGTTGGAACCTGTGCTGAACTCAAGGCAGCTCTGCGAGAGTGGAACAGCAGCAATATTCCTCCCTGGCTTGCGCAACGCAGCACGACTTAGATTTTTAATCCCCCTGCTGCATCCCACTTCGGCGGAGTATGAGAGTCCAAGATCAGAGTGGTGAGGAAGGTTATGAATGGAGTCATGACGGAGCAATCTATTCGCCTCGACGACGAAGGCCTGACTACCTTGATGTGCGAGATAGATTCCATTGTCAACGAGAGGCCCCTCACCACACTGCCGACTCAGCCCGTCGATGGACGAGGAATCCGAAAAAGATCCAGCAAAGACCAAGGCTATCGTTGACTTGTGAGCCACAGGACGTCAATGAACTCAGGAGATTCCTTGGCATGGCTCATCGGCTGACGAAGTTTTGCCTGCACATGGCTGAACGTACTAAACCGCTACGAGATCTTCTTAAACAGAGTGCTGCATGGTCACGGGGCCCAGCACAAGCAGCTGCATTCAAGGATGTCAAGGATGAACTGGTTTCTGAGAAAATACTGGCCAGGTACAATCCAGAGCAGGAGACAGTCGTGTCAGCTGATGCGAGCAGTTTCGGTCTGGGAGCTGTGCTTTTTCAGAGACAACCATCTGGTGATCTGCGACCAGTAGCATATGCCAGCAGGTCAATGACTACCGAAAAGGAAGCCTTAGAAACTACATGGGCTTTCGAACATTGGCAAGACCTTTTGATGGGCATGTCCTCTATCAAGGTCGAAACTGATCATAAGCCACTGGTACCATTGTTATCAACAAAGATGATTGATGAACTACGAGTGCGAATCCAGAGATTCCATATGCGTCTGATGCGGTTTGAGTTCAAAATCATGCATGTACCAGGCAAGCTGCTGTACACCGCAGATGCGTTATCTCGCAGTCCGCTCAGATGTGTGGTTGATCTTAGTGACATCCAAGTAGAGGCACATTGTTACGTTGATACCGTAATGATCAACCTACCAGCATCGCACTCACGACTATACGAAATCAGACGAACTTAAGAGGGAAGACACACTCAAGGTTGTGATATACTATGTGGAGCATGGATGGCCCGACTCCAAACAGAAGCTGTATGGACCAGTCAATAAGTACTGGAGTGAGAGAGGTAATTTGAGCCTCCATGAAGGCCTGCTTTTCAGATAGTTAAGCGGATAGGTGACAAATATTGACAAAGATGTTCACTTCCGGAAGAAAGCATGAAAATTGGTCTATGGGGGTTTTTGAGTATGCTGAATCCGAATTTAATGGGAACCACGTTGTCAGAACAAGGTTTCCTACTCAAAAAGGGTGTTGAACATGGGTGGG